TCTATACTTGATTTTCCCTGTACTGGGAGGGGGACAAATTCAAGGCAAACTTTTAATAATTAGATTCTATACTTGGAAAATTATAACAAATTAATATTTTTTTCTATTTATATAATCTAATTATTGGGGGTGGGTCATCTTATATTCAAGTAAATACAATAAATTATTTGTGTCAGTAGGTAACCAATGTTATCCTGTTCCAGACCTAAAGACAATCACAGAAATAGATCATCCTCCTTCACTTCCTGGCCCTGCCTGTTAAACCTCTAACAACTTGGGAGAAGCGGGATGTTAAAAAATTATTTACACTGCAGTGGTAAAAGGTTCCAGTGAAGCTACAGCCAAACATGCTACACCCACATCTTGCTCATCCATGCCCATTGACTTGTTCCAAATCCAGAAGCTTGCCAGTGAAGTCACTCTTCATCTCTAGTACCTGCTCTCAGAGTTCAGGAGCAAGCAGAAACAGATGAGCCCAGAGCAGCCTTTGTGGTATATTTTTGGGTTTGGAGCCCTGTCTGCCTGGACCTACCACCACTGAGGCATAGACAAGCCCAAAGAGTACCCTCTAAGTCAATTTTGCCCAGACTAACTAGAGAGTTTTAGTCTGATACTCCAAATTCTCCTGATTACTGCATGTGTACCTCCTTTAAACTAAATTTGATGCACTAAAAATACCATGACACAATTGAAATTTATCCCACTGCTGGCACTGAAGGCTCCCGGAAGTGAAATGTTTATACATCCATCCCAGCAAACGTTTTGGAGATACCAGTTTTACCATTGGGCCCTACACACCAAAACGAGTCTTGTGACTTAGGTTGGCACCTGGTGGTTTAACACCTCTGAGAAGGGTGGGTAGATCATGCTAGGAGAAAGAAGTAAACTTACTCTAAATCTTAATGAGTTTTGAGCATTGTTTAGTTTTCCTAATGGGGAGAGAAGAGTTTATTGATGGCTATAAAGTGTCAAAGAATCACACAAAAGTAGGATTAGAAGGGACCTCCAGAGACCTAGTCCAATCCCCTGCTCAAGGCAGGATCATCCCTATGCAAACCATTCCCTAAAAATCTCTCTAACCTATTCCATAACTACCTAATTAATCCTGCTGCATAAGTACAAAGCCCAAAACACCAAAAGCACCATAACCAACCATAGGTAAAGCAGAGGGAAAATGGGCCGTCAGTGTTCTGCCACTGCAAGGGCTGTTAAAGAGCACTCAAGAGATCCAAAGAAGAGGGCCATGTCCCTCCCTCTCTCCCCAGCATAACAGAGATGCTTAATGCCCACTGGACTAATTCTATTGTGCATTAGCACGTCATGCAAAAACTGTGTTAATGCGTTAATGCACAGTAGATTAATCCAATGGCATTAGGCGTTACAAAAAAAAAAAAGCGTTCGTTTGCGCTAATCAGCGTTCCCTCTAAGCTGCGTGGTGTGCGCAGCTGCGCAGGCACACCTGGCAGCATGGTATGAGTGTGCCTGTGCGGCTGCGCACACCATGCAGCTTAGCAGAAACGCTGGTGCTAAAGCACAGTAGCATTGATTACAGCACGTTAATGAATGTGTAGACATGCTCAGTTTGTACTAGTTTGACTGTAGAGTAAAATTTCTTGCTGGTTCCAAACGTGGTGACTGACCTGATTCTGAGCAGAGGGACAAGAGCCTCTAACCAGAAATTTTCAAGTTTTGGTCCCAGCACAAGCATCAGAACATCCCACTCAAAAATTGTTAGCCTTGGATGCAGCCAGTATGCAATGCTTCTGAGCCAACCCACTCTGCCCTCCCAAACACAGAAGCGGGAAAAGAAATCCTTCCCAGTCTCATGTGTCAACCTACAAAGCCCAAAAGCAAGGGAAAAACTGAACACCCTCCCTTTTGCTCCGTCACCTGGGGACAGCAAGCAAGACTCCACACATCACACCCTCTGACGACAACCAGAACTCTCATTTCTGCTGCCTTTCCATCAACTTATTCCAGCTGCTTTAAATCTTTCTTGACTAAGCCAGGTGCAGAGCTCTACTTCATTCTTCTGTTGCTGAGCATGATCCTCTTCAATATTCACCTGCCTGTCACCAAGCTTGCAAACAAGACTTTTACCAAATGCCTCTGACATCCACTTTGGACATACTTAATGAACATTACTAGCTATTTCAAGCATGTCGTACCACATCAATGTTAATTTTGAAAGGTTTGTTAAGAATTATTATTTTCCATAGTAAAAGCAAGAAATATTTTTTTAAATGCACCATGACAGTTTCAAACTCAATCACCACAAAAATGAGACAAAAGGGTTGTTCCAGGTACAAGTTTTTGGTTTTGTTTTTTTTTTACATATCCACCCTATGTAGGAAGTATGTTGGAACCTATCTAAGTTTGCAGTAGTGTGCAGAACAGTATAGTGTCCTTAGTGTATTGACTCTAATATATTGTCCTCCATTGTACAAAACCAACAGCCCTGTTGGCTTCAGTTTACATTCTTGTGTAAAATACAACCTACCTTGCATTGTAACATGTTTGCCACTCTCTCCTGCATTGACTGCCCCGCCTTTGGTCTCACAAGGATATAAACAGTTTTCACATTGGGACTGGAGCGCAGTAGCTTTTCCATCAGTACTTTGCCCATGAAACCTGTAGCTCCTGTGATGAGCACGGCCTTTCCATTGTAATAAGCTGCGACTGAAGACATGGTTCTTTCTATCTGTCCCTCTGTCCTCCTTCTGACTTCCTGCAGGAGGTACCTAAGAGGAAGCAGAAATAACAAGAATTTAAAAGTAGGGAAGTAAATATTGTTAAAAAAATTATCCATTTAAACTCGTCTGATTATATTGGTTAACTGTTTAACCAATAACATGTACCTACTATGGAGGGCTGGGGGTGCAGGGGCTACGTGAGGGATGTGCTGCAGAGGCCTGGGGCTCCTTGCAGCGAGACAGCTCCCCATACCAGTGTGACTGCCCGGAGCCTGGGGCCAAGTGTGTCACAGCTGAGTGACCCTGGGCAGCCCACAGCCAGGCACTCGGTGGGTGGGCGGACAGTGCAGCACCAGGGAAGCACCTCCCTAGCTGTCATTTCATCATGAGTAGGGGACGGGGGCAGAGTGCTCTCCATCTCCGCCATAGTGGCCTGAGATGCAGAGCCCCAGCATGGGGTGACGGAAGCATGCTGCCACTGAGCCAGCCACACGGCCCATGGGCCGTGTCAACTCACAGCCCCTTTTGCCAGAGTAACCCCTGCCCACCCGCCCGTCCACTGGTAATACTGTCACCGCCAAGAAGGGGAATAAGATTGAAAGCAGTGAGCAAGCCCAGGAGGGAGGGATAGAGGCAGAAAGCACCTGCTCTGTCTGCCACAGGGTGACACACACAGGTGGCAAGTGGAGGTCTTGCTGCTGGCCATCATGTCCTGCTCTGCCTCCCCTTCCCCACCTCTCCTCCTCCAGGTGGAAGGCAGGCTCGGCTCAGTTCCACTGCCTCCTCCACCCACCCTGGCCCCAGCACTTTGATTTACATGGTGCAAACTGCTGGTGGAAGGAGCAGGTGGCATGCAATAGCAGGCTGGCTTAAACATTAACTGTAATAATTGAATGGTATAAATAAAATTATAATTTAACCATTTAACCTTTCACAACCCTAGTCAAAAGATGGGACACTTGAGCCTACTTAACTGTGATGTACAATAACATTTCCAGTCTGTCCAATCAGATATTTAAGCTCCGAGGAAAAGCAGGAGCTCAGACATATCCCTGATCCTAGTGTTTCTTTTGGCAACTCCGTTGGTGCTTCCCTGCTGACCAACCAGGTGATCTGAATCATTGTTGCTGAGATACCCATTTCACTGCATAGGACACCTCGGAGCCTACCTTGGTCAATTTTGATCTCCACTCCTTAGGTAAAAGTGTTTCAATTCTAGCAGTGGGGAAACATCAAAGGATTTAATAATTGGTGATCATGGCTGGATAAAGGCTGGATATCTTTTTAAAAGATAAAGTACAGCTCAGACAGAGGCTCTGGGCTTGATGCAGGATATTTTATCAACTGAAGTTCTATTGTCTAAATGTTACATAAAGCAAGAATAGATAAAATGGTCCTTTTTTACCTTAAAAACATGTTTATGATTGAATCCTTGAAAATCAGGCCAGCTACCTTTACAGTAATCAAAGTGTACTTTGGGAATCTTTGCTTTCCTATTGTCAAAAGGTGTGCTTCAGTGAAAATTATTATTTTTAAGTACGAGTTGATAGCAACTCATACATGAACTAGGTAATGATGAAACAAAAAAGATTACAGATGTTATAAAAGGGAAAAGTCATGAAAAGACGCACACAAACAGCCATCAACCCACAGGATTTTTACTGAGAAGTCTACCCAAGACTTGTAGCACTGTAACTAGTACATGCTTCTGTCAGTGAAGTTCTGGTTATCTAGCTAAAAGTAGCAGTCTTAAGTCACATACAGTGCTACATGCACTCGAGTCATGGTTCACTTTTCCTTGAAAACAAGATTTTTCCATACATGTGCATGAATATACTCATGCCTCATAATAAACACATGCAAACCTAGGCACATATATGCACACACACATATACACGCTCTGCTTTATCCTGAGCAACAGAGTTGGAAGATGTTATGTGCTAACCTGCAAAGGAAACAGTGATGAGCTGAACAAGTGGCATAAAATAACCATGTCCTGCATTCAGGCTGGATCCAAAGCCTATTGGAGATACTGGAATGACTCCTACTGAAGTCAATGGTCTCTGCATTAGGACTTTACTGACATGGGCTCATTAGTAGAGTCCCTTCATATTTATGCAGAAGTACAATCATCTCCCCTTCTGCACTGCACTCCAAGTTACTGCACAATCAAGGACAGTGTCTCCACATATTTGTCTCTACATGTTTACACAGGAGGGATGGAACATTGCAGATCAAAGTCTAACACTACTTTCTGCTGGGTTTGTGAGTAGGGCATTAGCACTATAAAAGAATTTAAAGCCTGGCTCACAGGCTGCTTCTGATTGTTAGGGAGGCTCCTGAAATTGCCCAATTTCCCAGTGTAACTATGTCAGTCACAAAGAGTTCTAGTGTCTGACTCCAAAGACAGTAAATTAGGATGCTGCTTACTCCCAGTCCTATCTCCTGTGCACTATTCTCAGGGTATGTTCCAACTGCAGTCACAGGAATGATGGCTTGGAGCACAGTCTTTAAACTAGCCTTCTACTGGTGCCAGTAGCAGTCTAGTTCCAGTTGCATGGAGCTTAGTGCAGTATAAACCTATGTTTATACAGCCTTTGGAGCTAGCCCAGGGCATCACTGAGAAATAAGCCTCATCAATTTGTGTCTACTCCATGCAAGCTCACACCTACAAGTTAGGCAGGTATCTGACTGGCATGCATACCTTAGTGACTCTGAGCTTTTGCCTTCTGGATTTCCATGTCTAGGGAGCCTAAGCATGGCACTGTGGGGCACACACAAGTACATGCTCAAGCCACCTGCTCTCACTAATTTGTGGTGTTGGGCAAAGTGGGTATTGCTTCTCTCTTGGAGGTGCTGCTCGGTTTACTTCAGAAGTTGCATAGACATAGCCTAAAAAGCTATTCTATCCTAGGCTCCATGGGGTACCTGGTATTTTTATAGGTAGTTTAGGTATATATACACTATACTAAAAACTCATTACTGGCTCAATATTATGCCTCCCTCCCATAAAACAGCCCACATCCACAGCTAGCTGACCATTTCACTGGCAGTTCAACTCAGAAGGACCAACCACCCTTAAGAGGAGGTGGAGTGAGCCAGTGGCAAGCAAAACAGGATGGCTGTGCATGATATTGTGGCAAAAGTACAAGAGGAGTAAATGGCAAGAGACCCCTCAGGCACTGGAAGATCACAAATAGAGACTGGAAGAGACTCCTCAAGCAAGAGATGCCTAAAAGGAAGCATAACTATCTGCTCAGGGAACTTCTTTTCACTGTGATTCTGAAAAGGTCACTGTATCCAAAAATGGCTATTCTGGAGACTCTTCAGAGTGCTACTGCACACTACAACCCATGCAAGATTTAGAAATCTCTGCGGTTATTTGAACAATGAACAATTTCAGAAACTGGGGTAGGAATCAGACAACCCTTGTGCACTGAAACCCTGTGCATCCACATACAAATGGCAGAGCTAGGTGTGAGGCCAAAGGGAAGGGAAATAACATGGGCACTGCAAGTATCTGTTACCACCAGTCACTAAGGTGACTTGCCTTATTGAATGTGTTAAGAATGTAGATCTTTGTTTTTGCTATTGCACCTTAGTTTACTTAAAAAAACAGTAATCTTAATCAAACTGCACCTTTGTATTGTGCTACACTTGAAAAGGTACACTTTGAATTCGATAACAGGTAACTGGTGTGCCTAGAATGTTCTTGCTCCTCTAAAGAAACTAATTTGCTTAATATATTTTTGTTTCCCAGCATACCACTTGTTACTGTCAAGGCACTGACAATGAAGGAAATATCTACATTAATGCAAATTATTAAAAGTACTGAATAAAATACAAAGCATTGGAAACCAGAGCGACATGGAAGGAAACCATATAAAGGTTACAGACACAGATTTTAATTAAAATGGATTATTATAGGCAAACCTATTTAAAAAATACAAAAACAAATTAAAAGCCTTTAGCCAATAGAGAGCAGAAGTACAGAAAGTACAGTTTACACCCTAAAAGACTACAGCAGCACAGAGCAAAATCAGGACAGCAGCACACATATTCACAGTCAATTATTCTTAAACATTTCCCTATGAGTTCAGGATATGTGGCTACATAGCATCCTTACAGCCCTGGCCTCCTTTGAGCCTGCACTAATATTATTGGTTGCACTTCCTGGTTGAAGTAACTAGTTCAGCTAACCATGAATAGCCCAGGCCTATTCCATGCAAAAATATGCATTAGTACTGCAGATATTATGCAAGCCACAGCAGGGTACAACTATATGGACAGCATGATGCAAACTTAGTGGGCAGTGTCATCTTGCTTTCAGCAACCCAAATACCCACTCTTCCACCATTCTGCAGCTGCTAAGCGTGGAACTCAATTCTCATTTTCTAGGGCCTGTGTGATCATTATTAACATTTTGGTGACTCCTTCACAAGAACAAAATATAGGCATGTAAATTTTTCAATGACTCTGGTGCAATTTGCTTATCCCACTGTAAAAAGCTAAATAAAATTGCAGATAGTCTTTATGTGCAGCAGTCATGGACAAACTGCTTTGAGAATCACATTACAAACCTTCAATCAGCACCACCAAACTGGTTAGACAATGACCTGCAACAGCCTAGGGTAGATAGCACCCAGGATGACCTGCTTCTGTACTGGTATGGGCTCCCTCAATCCTGTCCTCCAAAACTGGAGAGACAGGGCAAATTCCATGAAGCTCTTCTTTCTTATGAAAATATCCTAGAGCCTCTGTAAGTCATTTCAGATTTGTAAGATGGTTACGTTCTTCCCTCCCCCGTCCCCATTCTGTCTTTCCTGCTCCAGACATGCTGCTGTACACATGGAGATCACATGACAATTGCAGCCATCACCTTTATTACTAGATCTACCAATGATGCATGGTCCCCATCATATGAGTTCAGCAACCTTCCACATTCCACAGTGGATCAATAAGTCACCACACACATCCCCACCTATCCTGCAGCATA